TTAACAATGATTACCTTTTTCTCTTATTCTTTCACGCTCATTTTGACTTCATTTCCTTGTTTTGGGTGAAATGATTAAAAAAAGAGTAGAACGATTAATAAAGTGTGATCTTTTTAATCGCCAGCTTTTGTTATTTTCAGTTGATTATTATTAAAAACATGTCGTAAATATTAATGGATAATACATACCTTTTTCCAGATATTTTAAACGCAGAATTTTAATGCGCTTAGTGGTATAATTGTTAGAACGTGAAATCGACGAAGCGAGTTCGGATACAGGTCGTGTTTGATACGTTCATTTTAGCTAAATAACCTTTGGAAAAGTATGAATTTATCCTCCCATGTATAGATTAAATAGTAGGGTACATTGGGCTCTGTAGCTACGGATCTTGGATAAGAAAGATTTCGAAGTCAAAACCCAACCATCTGAAGCTGTAAGAAGCTGGTTAGACTTGGGGTGCAGATACTCTGTAAAACGAAAATCATGATACATTTCGCCAGCTTTAGCTGATGCCACTGGGGAACCTATTATCGAGAATGGTGTTGGCACCTAAAAAAAACGGTGGAGGAATGTGAATTTAGTCAAGATCGGTTTTCATCAATTAAGGTTGCCTGTTCTATTTTACGCCCCTGCAAAGAAATAAACAGAAACCAGTCGAATGGGCGTTGCTTTGTAATTTTGTTTCTCATACTGTTTCGATCTTGGTGAACATGTCTGTGCATTTGCTCTAAATTCTACATTTTTCTGGACAATCGCGGCTCTCCACAATTTTCTGTCCTTTGTAGCTAAAGGTTGTCGTTTCGCTATCTCTCCTATTCGCCATTTATACAAGCTCATTAGTTAAGTCATGAGCAGCATTTCTCCTTTCCTTCAACCTATACTGTGAGTATCAAAATTTCCAAACATCTTTCCTCATTATATGTCCTAGAAACTTCAACTGTCTTTTTCTGATGTTAATTAAAAGTGTCCTTTTTGTTTCCATTTTCTCTAAAACTGTGTTATTACTCACATGTTCAGTCCATGGTATTCTCGGCATCCTTCTGTAGAACCATAGTTTTGTGGCTTCAAGTTATTCTTCGTCTGTGATACGATTGCCCTATTCATCCTCACTTTCCAGCATCCATATATTTCAAAAGCCTTTACGCGGGCTTGTGGGTGATTAATTATTTTGGCATCCTACAACTCATTCCATCAGATGCTACGCGGCAAACCACTCGCTACTCTATCACTATTTCGATTGAAAATGTTCCGACGAGCGATATTCTCTCGTTCCACCAGGTTAGACCTTCACAGCTGAAACCCACCACATCACGTACACAGAGGTGAACCATCCTTATTCTCTTCGTATTCCATCAGCAAGAAGAAAGTTTCGTTTATACAGATTCTTCCTAAGAGCCACTTTGGGGCAAATTCTCAATAGGATGCTTCCTCGACCATTATAATCTTAACCTGTTCAAGTCCAGGGACAACCTTTATATATCTTACATAATCATAATGTACAAGTCATATATCTTCTTTTAAATATATAAAACAACGTCCCTTAGTACTTACTAACGTGATATTACTTTGGTATTGTATTGTGTGAACAATAGTGTAAAAACGGAATTTAATATTTCTAGTCGTTCTAATGCTGATACAATATTAAACTGATGTTAAATTGAGATTAAACTTAGCTGCTACAAATTCTGGAACATTAATGCTTTTATCATATACGAGAAATATTTTGAGGAATTTAGTAGTCCGAATATGTATTATACACAAAGAGTTTCGTAGCTCTAATTGGTAATATACAGAAGTCGTTATTGTACAAAAATAATTATAATTAAAGTAAATGTTTAGAATTCTATATCTGTAAATGTTTTGACTCGAACAAGTTTACCTGAATAAAGTTCAAGTTGTCTGAAGATGGCGTGAACATGAAACTCCAGATACGATTAGAGCCATCCTTTTATAGGATTTAACGTTGTTAAGCGTTTTTGCTCAGTCTAAGCAATCTCGTCTTCAAGAATTTTATTGAGTAAATATATTTTTCTTTAGGCCTTTTTTTTCCTTTTTTTTTTTTTCTGTATTGTTGCTTTTGTTCGAGACTTTCTCGAAATATAAGTTTTAGGTTTTGGCAAGTTTTCCGTAGATTCCATCTACGGTTTTGTTCTCCTTTAACGGGACACTTCTCAGTTAACTCACTACTACACACGTTAAACGTTGATGACAGACTAGCCAGAAACGCACACGAGTGACAAATGTAATCTAGTCTACATAGCAACACGGCGCCATCTACCGCAAACTTTCTTTAAAGTTGATAACAAAGGAATTGCAGACATATGTTTATATAGACTTTTGTACTTGTTTTGATGTCAGGAAGCCGCCCCCAAAATTTGCAAAAGTATTTTTGATACACCCAGATAAATTAAGAGAAAAGGTAAACGTATCTTACATTTGAATGCTAAGCGACGTAATTTGATAGCGTTTCTTAGGCATTAAATTATGTCACTTAGCATCCTCCATAATTTACCTAGACTTTTCAGTTATCTGATGAATATTTCTTGAAATTAAAATTTTTTTTAAAAACTTTCAACATTATTACTATTGTTTATATATATATATATACACATTGCAAAATCTTCACATTTAAAAATTGGTCAGTGGTAATGGCAAAGGTAGGAGTGTCTCCCTCTCTTCAAGGGCCGCTGGAAGGCAATCGACTGCTTGCTCTTCTTTCTTTGTCGGGTGGGTGGCAAGCCACAAGTCTCTAAAGCCGTCGGTGCCCAGCGTCTGTGTCATGGATGGGACTGGGAAAGCCACTTTCGATGACAAGCCTCGAAGTTGGTTTTTCTACGTCGCGTGTTCACAGCAGATTCGCTGTGTGTGAGGAGTGTTAGGGACGCCTTCCCAAGCCTTACTATCATTTCTTTCCGTGCAGGAACTATTGGAGAGGATCACTTTGAGCACACTGTAGGCTTCTCAGCATTTCGGTGACCGAATTGTGCTTTTTATGAGCACCAGCTACGAATTACCTTAGCAAAGCTGAGTTTTCTCTTATCTGGGGATTGATCTGGAACTATTTCTCAATGACTTTGCTTTTAGAGGGGGCTTGACAGATATGACTGATTGACACTGGTGTGATATTGATTTAGAAGAAACGGCTGTGAGCGACTTCTATTGTCCACAGGTGCGCCCGTTCTCGGATCATTTCGATCCCGAACATCTCGTGTCTATCGATCTCGTATACGTGTGCAATTATGTGTTGCCCCCGTGGGCTGTAATGAAACGAATGATGTTTCTTACATTACTTGTTGTGGCAAGAATAGTGATAGTGGGGACGTAATGGAGGAGTGATATAATTCTTTGCGCATCAGCTCAGGATGAAGATCAGAACTGATAGAAAGCGCTTGCTTTCAGCAGATTTCAGCGAAAGGTGGGTAAAAGTTGCGAGCTTGGTTCGTGTGAACCGGCTGAGCTTGATTTCTTATTTTACTCCCTATAAACACAAATTTTCTTCAATTCCCACAAAACCAACCTGTGGCATATATTACAACTACCCTGAGCAGGTCCGCTTTACATTTTCTGGGAGGGAATGCATTACCTGGTATGATCAGCAATTTGAAAAGAGCCAGTATATGACTTGTAACTTTGTGTTAGCACTAGTTTCGTCTACCCAATGGCACTTGCATGGCTTGGGTAAGCCCGTGACATGGTTTTCAGGTACTTCACAAGAATGTCGAACGCCGGGATCGTCTCCCCAGGCCATTATTATTAAATTTAACTCCTTAACAAATCAACCAGGGCGAGATTCGAACACGGGCATCGTAGTTGGAAGCTAACCTCCCGGTTACGGGTTCAGTTCCTAATTCCAAAATGTGCTCACGAAAACCTTACGTAAGTGGAACTTTGGTTTTAGAGTCTAACATTGCTTTTTTCTTTAAAATCACCAAAATTTTAAAGTTTGAACTCATTCCATAATTGGTTTTAGTTTTTACTATGAATATTCGATAAATAAATTTAACTATAATTATATATGAACAAATTTTATTACGTATTCTGAAGTTAAAGATGACTAAATGAATAATCTACAAGTCTAGATGGTAAAGTTCAGATGCTGATTATGAAGAAATATTACTAGAGATGTGAAATCTTGCATGCATTAACTTCAACTCTTCTTGTTGATAGCTGCATTGTTGTTCCGAGGTAAACTTATATCTGAATATTCAAAGTAGTTTTCAAAAGTTAGTAGTAACGATTTGTCTTGAAGATGGAAAAATTGCACTTGCAGTAAACGGGTTGAGCCCCCAAGACAGTCATGCTCATATGGTTGTTACATTAGGTGATGACGCGCACTAGGCTGATTATATCACGGGAAAATCTGACATTTTTAGACAGATCCAGCTGGTTTCCTTGAAAGTTTCTTAACCTAGAATGTATGTTGTGTTCGTCATTTGGATCCAAAGACTAACAATCCATACCCCTCCTCATATGCTCCGAATAAGGTCCTGTATATTTCATCTGCAGAGAAGGTGATGGCCTTAGTTTTTAGGGGATGCAAAAAGCATTGTATTTAGTGATTATATTCAAAAGGGCCACATTATCAATGGAGAGTACAATGTCAACTTACTGAGGCAGTTACAAAAGTCTACCAAGACTAAATGCCCAGAGAAAAAAAAAACTTACAAAACGAGTCTTGTTTCATCAAGATAATGCTCCAGCATACAAGTCCTTGGTTTCAATGACTGGTGTGCGTGACTGTAAGTTTGAGCTGATTGATCACCTTCCCTATTCTGATTTGAAAACCCCGCTGATTATCATCTGTTCCCCAACATGAAGAAACACTTATCTGGGAACCAGTATTGCAGTGATGGTATCATGTCTGCCTTTGATGACTTTTTTGCTCAATGGGTTAAAAGCTTCTTCACTAATGGGATTCGAGCACTGCAACACCAAAGGAAGAAGTGTGTGCACCGCAAGGCGGGGGGGGGGCGATGTTGAAAAATAAATCTCACTTGGTCCCATAAAATGAGAGTATCTTGGTCAGCCTATAAACTTTTCAGCCGACGCTATTTTCTCATTGTCGCTATGTGCCTACACACCGAGTAAAATTCTTTGCAAACAATAAGTTATGTTTTGACTTCACCTTGAGAATTCTTACAGTTGAAAGAAAAAATTCTGATTTTAAAACACAATTATTGTTTTTTATTTGTTTTTGTTTTTTTTTCGGGCGGTACCGACTGATTGAATTGTGCTTTTTTGCATATATTTCGTTTTTTATCGCGTTTTTAAAATTACTTTTTCGTTTCTGCTTTTTTTTTTTTATTTTGTAAATTTATTTTAGTACGACATAAAGCCAAAATGATAAGGAAGATTGTGTTGCGGCAAGTTTCTAATTGAGTATTTATTTTTGCCTCTAAAATCTCCATGTGAAGCTCTGGTTTTAATCTGTGAACGAACAATCACCAATGTTTCAGTCCAAAGGAAAACCCAGGTTCGTTATTTTATTTCTTTGAAAATTCAACTTTGTTACTTTGTTTTGTATTAACGTTGTTTTTTTTTTTTTTTGGTTTGTTTTGTTTTTTTACCTAAAATGATTTATGCCCTTTTCCCGCCTTTTATATCCAATTTGGTATCCTGCGATTTCTGTTATTTTCACTTTATATATTTCCTTTTTGACTTTTCAGTTTTTCTGTTTCTTGTGACTTTTAACTTTCAAGTTCCCCCCCCCTTTGGTTTCAGCTTTATCAAGTTTTACTCTTTTCCTTCTTCGTCTTTTTTGCTTGTAACAGTGTTGTTCTTTCTTTCATTCTATCATTTTACTTCTCTTTCCATTTGTTTTTCTTTCTTTCTTTGGTTCTTTCTTTTACTTTCCTTTTGTTCTGTTTTTTTTTTCTTCTTTTTCTATCATTGGACTTGTTATGCCCTCTTCCTTTTTATATCCATTTATTCTTTCTTTTCTTTTATTTAATTTCTTTCTCTCACTTATTTTCAGTTCTTTAATTCGTTTTCACTTCGGTTGCTATCTATCTATCTATCTATCTATCTATCTATCTATCTATCTATCTATCTATCTATCTATCTATCGCAATCTCTCTCTCACTTATATAATATCCTTCTTGTCATATATATCTATGTATCTAGCTAGCTAGCTATCATATTCTATTCATATCTGTTGTTATAAAGTTCGTATAACGCTCTTAGTTCTTGTTAATAATACTGTAAGAAAACACTGGAACAAAAAGGGTGAGTGAAGAATAGGTCTAATCACATGAAACACATGGATTAATTATACAGGAACAGAGGATACTGTATTTTATATAATGTAAGACGATGTAAAATACAAACGCTATGCCTTGCGACTCACTTAACGAAAACCGTTCATCTGCGCAGACGTTCTACTCATAACGGATGCACGTGTCAATGTTCAGCAATTACTTTAGAGAAGATCAGTCGTCTTTTTACACAATATCTATCTATCTATCTATCTATCTATCTATCTATCTATCTATCTCTGCTCATATCTATCTATCTATCTATCTATCTATCTATCTATCTCTTTCTGCTCATATCTATCTATCTATCTATCTATCTATCTATCTCCTTCTTCCCATATCTATCTCCTTCTGCCCATATCTATCTATCTATCTATCTATCTATCTATCTATCTATCTATCTATCTATCTATCAGTTGATTGAAAAGTAACACCCTATTTTAGGTATGACAGTCTCTCCCATCTAACTGTAATTTTTACAAGACGGGAGAGTCCATCATACATAAAATAGTTACTTTTCAATCACCCTGTATACTTCACTTTCTTTCTTTCTTTCTTTCTAAATATTCAAGTACTTCTATGCCTTCAGTGTTATCTCTTCTATTTCCACACCTAATGCTTTCCTTTTATCTTTCTTCCATTTTTTTCGACAATCACTGTTCAGAATACACTTGTCAAAAACCCAGCTGCCAATTTATCACCCTCAAACCTATTTCTACCATTTATTTATTCTTTAACATTTGAAGAAAAAACGAAGGAAGAAACACTCTTTTGAATACTGAATGCCAACAAACATCGAGCGCGGCCAGAATGGCCAGTGAAGAAATCTCGGTGCTAATAAAATGCGCTGGCTTCTTTCCAAATTCTCTCAAGATATGCGAAGACATCTTTGACATCACTCTTATGCTGTGAATAATGCTTCTCCTATTTCATTTATTATTTCCTTTTCTTTGCTTTTTTTCCTTATGTTATAAATTTTATGTCGATCCCTTTTGTAAGAAAAAGAAAACACGTTTAGCAGCCTTTATACATCATATTTGTGTAGAAATTTCCCCCACAGTTTTTATATAAAATATGTGCATTTGTAATATCACCGTAGATCATGCCAGAGGAGACTTTGCCCTTAGTATCAGATCATACCGTTAAGATAGCCAGGTATAAACTTCTGTTGCGCAAATTCGTGTTAACTGAGTAGCTATGCTTGCGTTGCAAGCGTTTGTAAAAAAAAAAAAACTGGTTTATACCCTTGTTATATGAAACCCGCCCGCAAGTAAGGACATGGGAAGTCTCTCAGATATCGCTGACGAGAATGTAAAGTCCAAGTTTTGAATAAACAACCACAGGGACACACACATATTGAAAAAAAATAAATAAAAAAACAAAAGAAAAACATCGTGAGTGAAATGTAATGTTAAATATAAGAGATTAAGACTCATGTTATTCATTAGTCATAACAATAGCTTCTTTACATTTAGTTTTTCTTTCTTTCTCTTCCATTTCTTTATTTATTTTTTACTTTCCTTTCTTTCTTTATTTAACTCATCTTTCATCATTCCTTCTGTTTTTCTTGTCCTTTTCTTTCTTTCTTTGTTTTTTCTTTAACTTTTCTTTCTGCTTTCATTCTTTCACTCCCCTTTATTTTCTTTATTTTTTCTTTCAATCTCCTTTTCTTTGCTTCTTTCTTTCTTTCTTTCTTTCTTTCTTTCTTTCTTTCTTTCACTTGTACTCTCGTGCCCTTTTCTACCTGCGTTTTTTTTCTTTCGCTCTCCTGTCTTTTCTTTCTTTTTCTTTTTCTTTCCTTCTTTTCTTTCTTTTTCTTTCGTTTTGTTCTTTTTCTTTCTTTCTTTCTTTCTTTCTTTCTTTCTTTCTTTCTTTCTTTCTTTCTTTCACTTCCCTGTCTTTCCTTTCTTGCCTTTTCTTTCTTTCACTCTCCTGTCTTTTCTTTCTTTCTTTCTTTTTTTCTTTATTTTTTCTTTCTTTTTTCTTTCTTTCTTTCTTTCTTTCTTTCTTTCTTTCTTTATTTATTTATTTATTTCACTTGTACTCTCTTGCCCTTTTCTACCTGTGTTTCTTTCTTTCGCTCTCCTGTCTTTTCTTTCTTTTTCTTTCGTTTTGTTCTTTTTTCTTTCTTTCTTGCCCTTTTCTTTCTTTCTTTCTTTCTTTCTTTCTTTCTTTCTTTCTTTCTGTCACTCCCCTGTCTTTCCTGTTTTGCCCTTTCTTTCTTTCACTCTCTTGTCTTGTCTTTCTTTCTTTCTTTCTTTCTTTCTTTCTTTCTTTCTTTACCTTGTTTTCTTTTTTTCTCTTTTCTTTCTGTCTTTTTTCTTTCACTCCTCTTTCATTTCCTTCCTCTATTTTACCGTTATCTTTTATATTTAAGTGAATACTTTTATGTCTGTTTTTTTAATCTATCACTTGACAGATTATTGCTGTCAAAACCCCCGCAGCCAATTTATCGCCCCCCCATGAAAACATTAAATTAAATTTTCTGTATCAAATATTCGCACGAATACGTAAACAAATGATATTTATTCATTTATGATTATGTGTGAGTCTTTTGCAAAATTAAATAATATTCGTTACTAGTCAATGAAACATAAAATATGTTATAAGAAGCCAAATAGTTAAACTATTATTTTATTATATTTTAATGTTAAGAGCAGCAGATATAATAATTTCATATAAATTCATTATTTTCAGTAAATAGATATTTAGTGTGAGAAGACGATATAGAATTTTTATATAAATGGATAATGTTAGGAAAATTAATAACAAAGTGGGAAAAGTTTTTACCTGTGACACGTTTCACCGTTTAGGACATCATCGGACTAAAGTGAAGTTTACGTTGGTGTAACTACACATGCGGACGGATATTTTCTGTTTGATTATATTTAGCGGCATATCAACATCTCTATGGGTTATTTACTGCCGAAATGTAAATATTTTGAACATAGATTTATGACTCCAACTACCGATAAAATGTATTGTTAATCATTTTGCTATAAAGTTTCATTTTGGTAATTCTGCCGTAAAAATATATTGTTGGTAATTCTAATCTAAATATTAGTATTTTTAGAAAACAAATTGCAGGTATTTTTACTATAAAATGCTTTTCATACTATCATAGCGTTTGGAAGTTCACTATTTGCCCATTGCTGGGACCCTGGTCAGAGTGAACATCGGAACAACAGCAACTGAGAGGTCATTCCACACTCCTCATAAACCTTCAATCTCCCGATTAGAGGCCTTGCTGCAAGATTTATTTTAATACCTAAGACTACCCACGCGGATACTGAAATATATGTAAAATTTACGACAAAGATTTCAGAATCAATTGGTGTGGTTTCCTCTGTAATATTGAGAACAGTCCTTCAAATATTTATTCGGAATAAATGAATTCATTTTTTGTGAGTCTAACCTTGTTTTCTCTTTTCTTTTAACGAAATTTTCCAGTCTCTTAATATTCTGGGTTAATGGGTTAATTAGTAAAACTTGTAATACTAAAACATTTATTATCTCTAAAAAAAACTAACATTGCATAAAAAATGTTTAAATTTCGGCATTGAATAACTTACAGTGGTTAATGTCGCTAAAAAACAACAAAATCTACCAGAATTTATTAAATTCAAACATTTTGAAAAAGGGCCTTATTTGGCCCAGGAGTTGGCCTATAGTACAGAACGCTGTGAATATAATAATAATAATAATAATAATAATAATAATAATAATAATAATAATAATATGACCTGTTACAATTCTATGGGACTACACAATACACACTGACAGAACAATCAAAGCCAACCACCCAGATATTGTTATTAAAGACCACAAACAAAAACAGTGCCTCCTTATTAATATGGCAGTCCCTGCTGACTGCAATGTATCTTTGAAGATATTCAAAAAGTTGTCAAAGTACAAGGACCTTGAAATAGAAATCTCGAAAATGTGGCATATGGGAACAGCAACAATCCCTGTTGTAGTTGGAGCCCTAGGACTTGTTGTAAAAGATTGCAGTAGACTAATTGAAGGGATTCCTGGAAGTCCATGCCTCAAGGAGATACAAAAAATTGTTCTGACAAGTACAGCCCACACTTTACGAAGGGCTTTATCTATGTAATTTTTTTTTCTTTTTGTCAGTGGAAAGTGTCATGCTGCTATTTCTAACCTTAGTTCCCTGGGCGGGACCCGGAAAGAAATGTGTAAACGCCAGAAATCAAAGAAAATAAAAATAATAATAATGATCATAAACACGAATGTAGCTTATAGTATATTAGTTTATTCTGTCTAATTATTTTTCCTGACAATGTTTCTGCTTTCGGCTTTTTTTTACCGATGAAATATTGTATTCTCCCGGACGAATTTTTTTCCTTTTGTTTTATATCAGAATGTTTGATAACTTTCCAGGCTTTGTCATAATCATCGAATACTAGATCTTTCGGTCTGATTTTCTTGCTTATTTTTGTACACAGTCTTTCTACCGCTCAACTCTTGTATGTCTATTCAGTTCTGGAATATTAAAGCTTGTGCCAAATAAACAACCACACCCCTCTCCGTTGTCGTCATATACAACGCCTTTGCCTGTCAGCTTTTTGAACTGTCCTATTTCTTCCCCGACCCGCTAAGTGATATTTCAACTGTACTTCGATTTATCATGTGTCCGGAACCTAAAATTCAGCCCATTTAGGCTCTTGATAAATAAAAAAAGAAAATAAAGATTCGACATTTAAAAAAAATACAACGGACACGTTTAAAAGCCTGAAGCATACGGCGGCCGACCGACACATTGTAATAAAGAAAACGAAAGAATTCATACGAACGAACCAAAATAAAATGCTTGCAATTTCTCATCTAAATAGTTTAGACAAAAATAAGTGAGTTTAAATAGATATTACCGAAAAAAAATGAGTAGCAAGAACCCCAGTAAAAATAGAAATTCTAATAAATCTTTCATTCTTTCCCAGAAAGTATTTTACAATCCAAAACGTTAATCACTGATATTTTATTTCGTTTCTTGCTTGTCTTCATCTTGTATACGTCGGGTCCCTTCAGGGCGTAGGTATTCATGATCCTCCACATCTTCCTGTCCCTTGTAGTTTTATCTTTTTGCTATTTATCCCAAACCCTTTTCTATCATCCATTTACTTCAGCTCATCAAGTATGTCAGGCGCTGGTCAATAATTGTGGCTAGGTAGGTTTAATCAGAAGACAGAATAAAACCAGCCATCACATTTTTCGGCCTTATGTAAGTTTACCAAATAAATGCAACTTTCCTCTATGTTACTTAGGTTTATGAATTTAAGCATCTTACTAGATTGGCGGCAAGATATCAACTGACAGGTGAAATGGCTAGATGTAGCCATAAGTACTATGGTAGTAGTATATTTTATCGCACTTCTCGATTGTGGAACTCTCTTTCAGTTTCTTGCTTCCCACTCAAGTTTGATCCTCAAGACTTAATTGAACTGTAAATCGTTACCTTCTGTCTTTTTAATTCCTGTCCTTTTATACTTAAGAATTTTATTTTTCTCATATTCTCTAAAACCCAATAAACTCTTTGCGTCTTAGTGGCTTTATTGCTTTGCTTGGGATGAAATTATTGCAAATCTATAAAAAAAACGTAGAGATTAGATTACCTAAATATTCCCTCATTTCCGCTCTTAATCTAGCATCATCTTGGCATGGCATTGGGGAGACGTTTTATCAAGACAGCTGGATTGTCTTTCCCAAAGGAACTACTGCAAAAGAAACATAAAGGCAAAAATTAAATTCATAACTTGTGAATGTTACTTGTACTAATACCTGAACCATATATCACATCAATATACGGCTATAAACGATCGCCATGTTTACTAAACCGACTTTAGTTTGTAACAGCTCGCCGATTATTATCCTCACATCCTTGCTGCTTTCACAACGTTTTAATAATTGTGCTATCATACCTTCTTCAAGTTCTTGTCGATCCGAGTAACCTTAAGGGAAGTTCAAAATGACAAAACAAATAGGATAAAGATAAACAAATGGAACAACAAGACAACAACTAAATAAACAGAAATAGGTTTTATTATAATTATAGTGATTTCGTCAATGGCTAAAAAAGAAAACAAACATAAATGCATACCGACAAGTAGTTAGAAATACTTCAAAAATCAGTCGGAATTTCCTCGAGTTTGTGCTATAAGTTACATGTGATGTCAGCGAATAGTAGTAAACGAACGGCTCTCTAAGCAGATTTTTTCAACAACTGACTTCGCCAGCCAACCTACTTCATTTTTACGCCTACCAACGAATTTGAATACCCGGATGAAGAACTTCAGTTTGTCATCAAAGTGTTCTTTGAAGTCTTCGATCTAAATGACCCAGAACTCGGATAAGATTAATTCCGAAAAATACTCTTAACAAATCTACGTTCACAAAAATCCATATCATGTCTCTGCTTCAACATCGAAAACGACACCGAGTTGGAAATTAGCCGACCAGTCGAAGTATGTCGAGTCTTTCAATTTCACTGAAAGATTTTACTGATTGCCGCATGTACCTCCAGGCTTGAAAGGAAAGGACGCATTCTCCATTACATTTATATATATATATATATATATATATATATATATATATATATATATATATATATATATATATATATATATATATATATATACTGGGGTGTAAGAGCAAACAGCGTGGGATAATTGTTCCTCCCACAAAAAGATTAATTTCTAAAAAACCGCTAAACTAATTGAGATTCTTTTTACCACCACTTCAAATAAGACGTTTAGCCATTTTGTCACCGTTTGTCGTAAGAATCACCGAAAAATGCTTTGAGTTATTCCGCTAGAAATAGAACAGGTTAAAATCGTTTTATGTCAGCCCCACTATGTCTTGCCAACTGAGCAATGGTGAGAGTAAAAAGATCATTTCGGCCTACAGTAATGGTATCAGCATTCATAATTCATCTTCAAAGTCCACTCAAGTAGCATCAAGAGAACGGTGAATAAGTTTTAAAAAGAGGAAACAGTAGAGAGAAAAAAATGGATCAGGAGGTTACAAAGGGAAGAGGGATCATCATTTCATCTTAGATCAATTAGACGAGATCCAACGCTATTTATAAGACGTTTGGCTCGTGAGAGTGGATTTTCAGCTATGACAGTTCAAAGAGCAGTGAAAAATGACTTGAAATTGAAATCGTACGTGAAAATTGTGAGTCACCTTGCTACACCAGGACAGAATCTTAGAAGGTTTGAGAGGGCGAAAACCATCTTGAATAAGTTGTAAAATAATGATGGAATAATATATATATATATATATATATATATATATATATATATATATATGTGTGTGTGTGTGTGTGTGTGTGTGTGTGTGTGTGTGTGTGTGTGTGTGTGTGTA